GATACGATATACATAGTAGTATATTATTATTATATAATTTATATTATTAATATATAATTATTTTATAAAAATTATCTTATAAAAATTATTTGAACATTTATAAATATTATATGCTATGATGTAAGAGTATCATAGATATACAATATAAAATAATATAAAATTTATGTGTGATGACGGAAGTATTCAATTTTATTTTAACTAAAAAAATAAGAATTTCTTGCAGATTTATTTGCTTCAAAAATTATTATTGTGACAATAAATTATTTCGCATCTTGACATGACTGAGCCAATAGCGACCAGTTTGCTTAAAATGTAACTCACTGAGAAAATCGCAGTGTAATATAGTTGCTCTAGACTAATCTATTCTTATGAATCTCCTCCGAAGTAAAAGAAATTCGCGGTATGTAACGTTCACTTTAGACTGCCGCGTAAAAATTGCGAAAGTATAAATGTATAAACGCAATGCATTTCGAGTACATAACGGATATGCGATCTCAAATTAACGAGGTCTATGTAATCACTCGAGCAGCACCCAGTGTATTAGAGATGCAGTAATTTTACCTTTCTTCTTTCTTTCTTGTTTCACACATAAATTATATATGCACTACATGCGCGTATTTATATTATACGCTTTCTTAAAATAAATTCATATACTGTCTAAATTGTGAAAATTATATTACTTTCAATAACAAATTAATATGTATAACTTTATATGTATAAATAAGAAATTGTTAAGTAGGGAATGTCTTAAGCAGTTAAATAATACAGATATTATATCTTTTTTTATTAAATTTATTTTCATTTAATATATTTCTTGCTATATATATAATTTTATTATCTGATTAAATATATTTAATATAGCAAAAACCATTTTATTGTACCATTTTGTTGTATCAATTTATAGAAATTTAAAAAAGTATGAATACGACAACATGCTGCTTTTGTGCAAATGCAGAAATGTTTGAGATTAAAATAATGTGTCAGATTTTTCCGTTAAAGATTAGAATCTTAAATTTTCTGCGACAAAGGAGTGGTAACCAAACCATTTATAGAATATAATAACAATTTGTATTCCTGTGCTTATGGAATATAAAGAAGAGAAGGATAAAAAATTATTTTCTTGGAAGCAAACAAACCGTCCGTAAAAATTTTGAAGGTACCGTTTATTAACAGTATGGTAAACAAATGGGCTCGGTAATTTCCAGCTTTCTAAGACACAATCAATTTCTCTGTGTTATATATATTTTTTTTTAATTCCTAACAGTACTATTGTGCTGACATTCCAATTTCAATGCGTAAGAATATGATTTTCTTCAGTAAAATCATCAAGGAGAAATTATCGGCATATTTTCTGATCCAGCGTGAATTCCATTTCCTGTATTATCGCAAATTGTTGGGTGAGTGCGAACGACTTTCTTGATGATTCTCTCAATTTCGACTAAAAATGGGGTAACTATGGCGTTACGGAACGCACAATCACAGTCATCATATGAATTCATCTGCCATGACATTATGTTCGCACTTGTGAATATATGCTATCTTTCATTTTTGGAATTATATTATATTATATTTAAAAAGATTTCGTATCTTTCCCTTTAATTTCATATATTAAAAAATCATTTAAAAAAGGATTTAAAATTTAAAAAATATTTTTTTTATTCTAAGAAAATCTTATTTTTATTTTAGAAAAATTGTGTATTTTTATAATATTTAATTTATACATAAATTTATATCTAATATTAATTCAATATATTTCAAAATTTATATGAAAAATTTGAAAATATAAGAACTATTAAATAAATTTAAATAAAAATTAACTTTCAAATACATTCTTCCTATTCTTCTTCATTTGTCGTAAGTTACTTGAAGATAAATTACGAGATAAAAACAACAGATTTTTTTATCAAGTGTTCCAAATACTATGTAATATTGCGGTTTCAACTAATGCTTGTAACTCAACAGGAAACGTAGATTAATAACGGATTATTTTGAATGAGATCTGATAGGATAAACAAATGCAATAAAAATTGCAACATCAAAATGCGTGAATGAATCTAATCTGCGTAAGATACCTTTTTTTATTGCTGTGATTTTTTTTTTTATTTAATTAAGAACAAAAATGAAAAAAGATTTTCAGAATTGTGTTCCACGCTGTTCTTTTCGGCGATGTTTACGATTGTAAAATCAACGCCTACTATCGATTCGATCTATCGCGCATAATTGAGAATAAAATCAACACACGACGTGTTAGAAATTATTAACGAAAGGAAGGCACGACATGAAAAGGAACAAATCGGGAAATGGATGCCTTTGAAAGAAGGCTAGTCCGTTCTAAGTCGACACACCTGCTGCATGGACATGCAAACGTGTGATATCGAAATATGCATGCGTTCGTCGTATTGTGCATACGCATACACGCACGCAACGATAAGACCTCATCGGATTGCCCGTGAAAATCGACTGCGTACTTTCACATCGGTATATCCGTCTGAAGCGCCGTTGCTCGAGCGTAGCGCGCGAAAATCGGATCTCCTACGAGCTAGCTAAACTGGGCTGATTTAAAGTAGGACTCCCGTCTCGTTTCGCCTCGCCCGCGATAATTTTCACGATATACTTATTGACAAACTTTTCAAACAATTTACTATTTTTATTTGCGCTTAATTCACAAACTTCGCAAACACAATGTATGTTGTCGCTCTCTTGGTTTCGTTCTTGAAATCGAAAGTGATTTCACGTTGGGCAATCGGACACTAATAGCGATTGTCGATCCGGATAATTAACGTCTGCTTTGGCTAATTGATCCTTTTATTACAGTATTATCTCTAATCTCAAGTTAATTTCTTCTTTACAAAATAATTATTAATCCTTTTGCGAGATCTTTAGTAGCAACTTATTGGCGATACATTATTTAAAAGTTTGTTTAAATATTATATTAGGTCAATATTGTGTCAACAAATTGTGCTACTAGGGATAGTGCAAGAGCGATTTCTAGGCATCCGGATCATAGATACTTTATATTATATGTCCTACATTATAGTCCAGATATTTATTTTGTAAAATAATTATATGAAAAGAAATTTTATATGATGATAATTTTATAATGTAGAAACTTTTATATGAACATTTTTATATTTTTTAAATTTCTATTAATTAAAAAAATTATCTTTTTTTTTTACGAATTCCAGTAAAAAATGATTAGTCGATTAATGTTGAATGAGAGAATCGATGTGATTGACCAATAACTTCTAATTGAGATATATTGCAAAAAAAGTTATGTAATGTAATTCTCAATATTGATAAACTAACTGGTTACAACATAAACGTGTCTAAAAGTGAAAATAATATGGAGAAAATCTACATGGACAACGATCGATAAACGTACATATAAATAGTAACGATGCACTCATAAAAAATAATTGCATTGTTAAAGATTGATTGCGTATGCATTAAGTGTGTTAATATGATTGAATTGGCGTTGATGCGATCAGCCTTCGCTCTCATTCATCATCTCATACTCGTTCATTGCTACCCTCTTTTTTTCCGTAAATTTGACTCAGATTCGAATTCTCCGCTCTATTTGACGCTCCCTCTCGCCACTGCTGCTGGACGGTTGCAAGAGGCCCCTGCCTCCTCTTCAACGTCCAAGAAGAGAGTTCCGTCGTCGGTGCTCTCGACTACGGAGAATGTATGAAACGACCGAAAGGCAAAAAGGAAAAAGGACTATCCGTTGACTCGCTCTATATATACTGCAAGTATCCGAGGATATGCCCAGTGCACGATACGCGTCTCATCCGTCAGCTTCAAGGTCCTTCGTCTTCAAGGATATCGCGTTACTGGCGATCCGTAGACCTGGGACGAAAAAAAATAACTGCACCAATTTGTTCTCCAGCCAGACTTCAGGGAAACATTCAAAAATTCATGATGAAAGGAATTACGCACGTTGTTCAATTGTCGCGTTGCCATCTGCTTCTTCTGGTACTTTTTCTTTCGGGATGCGCCAACGCGGAAATCGAAAGACGCACCACGAGGCAATTGATAGAAGAAGATGCGCCGGAAAATCTGGCATCTAATTTGAACAAAGAGAACTGTGGGAAGTCATATAGTGCCACGTGTCTTAAATTGGACGTGGTATCCTTCCTGGATAAATTGTCGGAACAGGAAAACATCGGTATATTACCTGGTGTATCTGTGATCAAAGAGAATAGTTCCGCTGATGTTCCAGCTTCGGAAGTAGTCGCCAATTTGGCGAGGGATTTCCCGAATGATGTTGAGAAAAGACTGGATGCTTATTTGGTTCACAAAGTTGGCAGTTATCTTAACAGCCATTCGATCTCCATCAAACTTTTCGATCCGAAAACTTTTGAAGCTACAAGAAGCTTCAACGAAGAGGCACTTGCACAACTCGGCTTGAGCGGCAACCAAAATGTTGAAACAGGTTAGAATATCAAATTTCACTGTTTATCTTATTAGCAAAATTGTAAATTAAAATAATGAATCTTCGCAGAGTCAGCTAACATTGATTTGTAAAATGTTTTATTTTACAATTTTATATAATTTTTTATGAAAATTATAATATATATTTTCAAATCACTAAGTTCTATTTTGTTATACATATATAGAAAATAATATAAAGTAAAATAATATAATAATAATTAAGATAATAATGATAATGATTATATATTTAACAGGACGTAAGAAAGACAAAGGCGGTTATGGCGGCTTAATGGCCGGTCTGATGATGATGAAGGGAACCCTTGGCGCTGTTGGATTTGGTGCACTTGCGCTTCTTGCCGGAAAAGCTTTGATGACCGGTCTCATGGCGTTGATGTTGTCAGCTATCATTGGATTAAAATCTTTAGCGAGCGGTGGTGATAAAAAGACTACGTACGAAATTGTTAGCAAACCGGTATATTCCAGCTCACATACGCACAGCTCAGAGGAGCATCACGGACATGGATATGGACATTCCGGATACGGAAGGTCTCTCGATACCGTCCATGACTCTCTTCAACAGGCTGTATTGAAATACGGCAACGCGCACGATCGTAGATCGCTTCTGCAGAATTAAAATCATCTAATCAACTTCAAGGTGTTTGCACACCACTGATACACGATAAAATCTTTAGCACATTTCTACCTCACCAACTTTCTTTGCTGTTTCTTTTCTTTCATTCTCACACTATCAATTTTTCTCTTTATCTGTCTGCATCTTTTTTTCATCTCACTCTGTCTTCATCTCTTGTCTTTCTTCTTCGCCATCATGACACTTTCTACCTTCTAAGATCTCGTTTAATTTCATTTCATTGATCTACAAATTATCACTCTTATTATCATAGTCATATAGGTATTTATTGCGGCCACTATTGCATTTTCGACTGATACCTATCGAGAAAGTGTATCATCGCCGAGTATGCAGAGTTGCCCACGATCATGTACATGATTTTTGGATATTTATTTTGTTATTGTAAAGTTGTAATAATAAAAAGCATTTGTAAAAACATTAATACTGTCATTATTATAATAATTGCAACAATTAAAAATTTAATAAATTACAGTGTACGCACGATATATTTTATCTACGATAATATAAACATTTGTTTTATTGTTTAGCGATAATCATCAGGAACTTGTTTAAATGAAGGAATTATTTATGCTGAACTCTTCTATCTATTTAAATATATTTATACAAGTACATCACGCGCTAAAAAGGATGCGTACTTTCTGTTACGGTAATTACATTTACGTTACTGTTAAATATAGATCTCTGAAGGTGAATGTACGGACAATTAAGAAGTAATAAGGCCAGCATCTTCATCACGACCATCAGAATGGTCGTTAGATGACAGTTTTACATCAGATCATAAAGTGTTGCAATTCTCAAGGCGCCTGAATCCTAATATGTATTTTATTATTTATTGTTAATATAATAGAAATAATAATTATATTATCTTTTCTACAAAAAGTATTTAAAGAACTTCTTAAACTAATCAGGTTCTTTTAATAAACAGAAAGTGTAAAAGCAATGATAAAATATTATAATCAAACATTCCTATAAATTAAATAATATAAATTTTGTCAACGGACATTTATTAAATATGTTTTTATCATTAGTTTCTATCCTCGTCTTTTTGTTTCAATTATGAACTTTGAAATCTTTAAGTTTTAAATTTCTGTTCTACAGGTATAATTAATTTAGAAGTGGCACAAACTGTCACTGTCTTATTCAATACATGTTTGTGTAAGCGTGTCAGCTTATTACAACAGATCGCAATGCAGTATCTAGAAATATTTGTTTTATTGTTACGTATGCCATCCATAGTTGTGGCTAAAACTTGATAAATGATTTTGATTTACCATTTCAGCTTTGTTATTAGAGAATTATTTGTCTCGCTGCAAGTAATGACAATCGTGACGGAACGATGGGAGAATACCGCGAATGACATAAATCTCAATATATATAAACGATTGTCATGACCCAGAGATCAGTCAGTGCTAGCCAGTATTCCTCCCAAAGTTATCTTCGTTGTCATCGGAATTGATATCAACGTTTACTTTTTTATTGTGCAAAAGTGCTAAATCTATGCTCATCTTTTGTTTATTGATCACGTGCGTGATTCACGTGAATACGTACGAAAATAATGAGATTCGAAATGTTAAGGATTACATTCTTGATACGAAATTACATAGGATACCAGTCGAACGCCAAATATTCAACTTCAAAAAGAATGGCATCAAAATCGACTTAAAGGTTGTTCCATCGGCTAAAAATGATTCAGTGAAAAATAAGAACGATGATTATTTTCCGGAGTTTCCCGTAAAGGATATAGGCAAATGCATTATCAAATTTTCGCTTGATTGCATCAAGAAACGTTTTATCCGTTTCATAGAAACAGTAAGTCATCTCGATGAAATAACATTACTTGGGCAAAATGTAAAGTTGGTGAAGACCGGAATAACACGTAGATCCAATGCTCGATCTATGAATGACTCGGACGTCAGTATCGAGCGCAGCGTAGATGATTTCTTCGATTCCTTTACTCTACGTATCACGCTGCCTAGATGGAATAAGCAAGAAAAGAATCAAATTGATATGATGTTTGATGAGACAGCTGTAGCAGAAGGTTAGCACAGCAATCATTAAATGAAGTATAGACTAAGAGAATATCTTAGAAATATTTAAATAACGCATACGTGCCAAAATTTATCGCGGTCTAATAAAGAGAGGAGAGCTATGCTCTGCTCTTCTGATTTTTATCAAACTTGCAACGATGTTAAAAGAGCTTACTAAATGAACATCTGTAAAGCCGTTCCCGACAATGGGCCTTAGAAGCGGAGTAAAGAGCATTTAAAAATATATCAAAAATTTGAAAACAGTCTAATATCTCGGAAAGTTTTTGAAAAAAAAGTGTTTAATAAGATGTATTTATTAGTTTTATTGATTTGAAAGGAATGCCTTGGAAAGCATCGTCAAGATGAAATCAAGATTGACGATGTCACCCAAGGTCAAACCAATAAAACCAATATATAAATAAACCTTATTACTTTTGTCTATGACATTTTTTTTTTTCAAAAATGCATACTTTCCGAGATATTAGATATTACTGTTTCTAGATTTTTGAATGCTCATTACTTCGCTTCTAAGACCCATTAGCGGGAACTGCTTTATATTCACTTGATTGCAAGTTTGATCAAAATCAATGAAGAATAGAGCGCAGCCCCTTCTGGTAAGATCTTGAAAGATTTTAGAAGTATTTAGAACTTTTACATTGTTCAGAAAACTATTTTTTTCTATAGCAGTAAATTGTTAAATGTGATTTGTTATAGGACGAGGAAAGAAAGGCGGAGGAGGAGGATGTGGTGGAGGCAAAGGCGGAAAATGCAAGATGATGATGATGGGCATGATGATGATGCTTAAAATGAAGCTCATAGGTAATGTTGTTATATCATTTCGTATATATTTTCTCTTACTTGTGCAAACATATTTCTACGATATAAAAACTCACTTTGCTTATATCTACACACAATTTTAAAATTGTATCAGGTTATAATATAGTCAAATATATTTTCTTTCAATATGATAGGATTGATGTCATTAAAAAGTATGATGATGGGCGGAATGTCTCTAATGGTTTCAATGATGATGCTAATGAGCAAATTCGGAAAAGGAGGAGGTGGAGGAGGAGGTCCTTGGAAAGGAGGAGGCGGCGGAGGAGGAGGAGGAGGAGGTAAAATTGCCGTTTTTATGTTTTGTTTAATTTTAGTAGCTATTTGTTAAAATTTAATTAATTTAATGCTCTCACTAATTTTTGGTTGGTGCTCTACTAAAAAATTTAAATAATTATAAATAGCATTTTTTTAACGTCTATAATGTAAGAAGTCAATTGTATAAATTTTCTTTCAAAAAAAGTCTATAAGTAATGTAAAATTAAATAATATTCTTGTAAAATATTGAGTAACAATTAACATCTTTGATATTATAACGGCTTCCAGACTACAAAGAGATAATACTCCTTACAAAATCTGCGGGCGGTGGCGGTGGCGGTGGTGGACATAGCAGTAGTTATGGTGCACCTCCACCAAGTAGTTACGGTGCACCTCCATCAAGTAGTTATGGTTCACCTTCAGGAGGCGGCGGTTATGGAGGCGGTGGATGGGGTCGTAGTTTCCACAACAAACGGCCGATGATATACGATAAAGAGACTAAGACAGAAATTGCGGATGGATTTAATCACATTCCAATGACAGGAGAAGTTATTTCAAATGCAGAAAGTATTGATTATCTAGACTATCAGGATTATCAAGAACCATCGTCAATTACAAATTCAAGTTCTAGAATTTCTAATTGGAACACGCCAAGCTATTCCGCTTTCCAAGACGGAGATATTGATGTAAGTATCGGTTCGGCAAAGAATAATTTGAAATCAGAAGCGATAGTAAATGCAGAAGGAAGAAGTTTCATCTTCAATGAGACTCCACCTATTAGTATTGTAAATGTAATTGAAAAGACTGTTGATACAACGACAACCACGGAGCAATCTGTTACTCCTGAATTCGCAATAAATGCGGTATATATGGATGAGTGGCAGGCTACAGCTGAAAAAACAAATTCTAATGTATTATCAACAAATTCAAATGAAGAAATTAAATTGCAGCAAACCGAATTACGACCTAAAAATATACCTTTATTACATAAAATTTAGATTTTCAGTTATTAGTATATTATATATCATCATGTATACTTATTTTTCAATAAATGATATTGCAACTGTTACACATTTTGCGAAAAAATTTATTTTACTGATAATATTTCAAATACTTTTTTGTAAAAAGTAATTTGAAATAAAAGTTAAATTAAGAATGAAAATAGTATTGGGTTGTCCGGAAAGTTCGTGCTGATTTTGAAGGAAAATTGAAATGCAGAAGATTTAAATTTTAGTATACATTTATTAAATTATATAGGTTAGTCGGCACGAACTTTCCGGACAATCCAATATCTTAAAAAACATTTTCTTTTTTAATAGAAATATATCATTTTTATCTATTTATTTATTTTATTCTTGTAAAAAATTTATGATAATATAATAATTTTGTAAAAAAGTATTTATACGAAGATTTTAATTAATTTTAATGCGCAAAATAGTGGCGCAATCTTTTGAAGAGTCTTTCAAGCTTCTTTCTACGACTTTCTAGTAAGTAACTGACCTTGAATGTTACTGGAAGTATACGGAATCCATTTTATCGGGTACACTTGGTATACCGATTGAGAGGCTTCGGCATGAAGAACATCGACACTAGGTGTCGAAAGCTATTCCTACAGCCCAATCAAATTCAAGATTAAATAGATGTATCGGATCACTTTGAAGAACGGTTAAAACATATTTACGTATATAACGGTTTTTCTTTTGCGTCATATTTCATAAATCTTATTTCATCGCTTTATTTCTTCACATCTATGTGCATATTATTTTAAAAAAAATTGTGTGACCGCGGATATGTATGATTAAAATCTCTTCAAAATTTAAATGGCACATAAATTTTTCGCTGATTTTATTTTGAAATTTTATTTTTGATAAAATTCATTAATTTATTTAAATTTTACCTTAGTTAGCAAGTAAAATGACGACAAAGAGATGTAGGTTACTATCAGAATATCCAGATTTATTAGCACATTTATTTGTACTTTATAAAAACAATTATTATAGTGATTAAAAATTAAGAAATTTAAGAAACATTCTTCAATAAAATTTATAAAATAATTCTTTGTTAAATAAAATTAAAATTTAAGAAGTTGTAAAAAATATAAGAAGTTGTGAAAAATAAAGACACTGCACAATTATAAATTTCATATTAAAAACATTATTTTAGCGCTGTAAGTTAGCGCCATATATAAAAATATACAATACATGGTATATCTTTGAGTTAATTTAATTAAATAAGTTTTACTTACTTATTTAAGATTATTTGGTTTATTAAATTCTGTGTTAAGAGTTATACTTTGCGAATGTTATACACGAAATTCTTAAGTTGTCTGAACTCATGCGATGATCGGCCTACATTAATACATTGACTATTTGAAACTCACGACACGTCTTTTCGGTGGCAACGCGATCTGATTCGAAAGAAGAAACGGATTTGTCAGCTATGGACGATGCATGAGCATGCGTGTTTATGGTCGCACATTTGATTTTCTCGGGGCGCTCTCCTTTAGCTTCTTTGATGGGGAAGCGCCTGCTTAAACCGCAAGCTTATCTGTCAATCACCGTTAGGTAACCTACTGATCAACAGGATGTTAGTTGCTGCTTCACTACTTTTCACAACTAATCAGGAAAATCGGCGAAAGTATTCGCGCCGTTCGATACAAAGAAGATTCCCACTGTTCCGGAAATAGGTACAACGCGCCTATCAACTTTACGCCTCAGGATCACTTTCTTATGTTACCGCATCCAAGGATCAATTGTTAAAAAGAATCTATATATGCAATAACGACTAACTTTAATTTACTGTTATAAATGATAATAAATGATTTATTAGACCGTAATGTGAATACACAATAAGTAAGATATTAAAGTTTATAATGGTCGAAGCTGATCTTTAATGCTTTAAAATAATTCAATGTAAATTATACTATATATGTATATGCACGTATACCATATTTATACTCATTCGAACTGCGCGCCGAATTGATTTTCCGGACTTACAAATGCAATTAAACTATTGTAATAATATCACAAATTAAATTAAATTGACAAGCAAATTTTAATAATTTTCATGTTTAATCCGGAATTATATTAGAAAGATGTTAATGCGCTGAAAAATTGTAAATAAATTTATTGCGAAAAATATTACCTCGATCGGAAATCGAACCTGGATCTCTTGTATTCTGTACGAATGTCCTAAGCCTTTAACACTACCGAGGCCTTAGTAATATTCTTCGCAATAATGCGTTATTGTTCCTACATATCAATTATTGTGAAGAATATTATATTACTAAGGTTTCGGTGATTTAAAGGCTTAGGACGCTTGTACAAAAGATCCGGGTTTGACTTCCGACCGAGATAATATTTTTCGCAATAAATTTATTTACAGTTTTTCAGCACATTAACGTTCTTTCTAATATGATATCGGATTGAACATCAAAATTATTAAAATTTGCTTGTCAATTTTAATTTAATTTGATATTATTACAATAGTTTAATTGCGTTTATAATTCCGTAAACCAATTCGGCGCGCAGTTC